AAACACCTAGTGTCATCACTGATTTTTAGTGATCCATTCATATAGTTTTCACCGCCAGTTTGCCTGTTACGCCCAATGCAATCTGTTTCGGCGGATAATCGAGATTAGTTATTCTCCGGCGTTTTACGATTTAAAAACCTTCGTTGCATTGCCAAATCGATGTCAACTCACGGGCAATGTGAGAAGGGTTAATGTAACCTAACCATATCAATCGTAATGCTACCACGGGTGGGCCAGTCGTCTAGGGCATCGCAATTCGATGTGAAGAGTTGCGTCACTTGGACACGCCAGAAACCTATCAGCTAGTTGGTTCTAACAACGTCGGAGACTGTCGCACATATCGATAGTCCAATCAGAGAATGTTTCACAAAATGAACATCCACGATTGGTACACCTTCGCATGAAAGTGATTTACCGCTGCCTGTTTTTCCCCATCGTTTAAATCCCCCAACGATTGCCTATGTTTTTGTGTCAGGGATGAAATTGCAAAGCTTTTCGTTATCTGTGGTAGTCACCATCTTTGTGAAGCTTTACGAGACAAGAACAGCGATCTGATTGGATATCGCGTTTTCATTACAAGGGGCACAACTCGTGATCTACACGAGTTGGCGCCAGAGTCGAGCAAAGAAAAGTGGCCTTGATGTGCTAAGGGTAGAAACTAGGCTTTGACAAAGGCTAATGGACACTGTTCGAGGCGGCGTTTAATCCAATTCGCTCAGTCACTGACTTTGCCTATCTTCACCTGATTTGTGACCAGTTAACCGAACGTTATGTCCGCCTAACGATTTTCCAATGAAAGAGTCATACGTATTCTTGAACTTATTGATGTAACGGTAGCAATAAAACGCTTGCCTCAGGACACAGATTATTTCGGTCTCGTGTTTCCAACGAACGACTGAAATACGTACTTCTGTCTTAAACTAAGAACAGTATGCGCTTGTAATATTGTTGCGCTATTTTCAAAGCATACATGTATCTCAACACCCGCCGGACACATTCAGATGATGATCAAAGAAACAACAGTGTTCGTTGTCATCTCTTGCGTGTATGTTGTATATCATGTAAATACGAAATATCGAACAATCTCAGAACATTTGAGTACATTAGCCTTGCTGTTTATATTGACTCGGGCTGCTATTTGTCCTTTAAACTGAAGAAGACCGACTTATTGAGAAACGCCTCGGAACATCACTAATGTATCAAAGTAGGGTGAGGTGTAACATTATATTAAAGAAAGAATTGATCTTCTTTAATGCTTAAGATTAAGTGTTCTTGCTATTTGTAGCTAGACATGTCTTATAAACGTGTCTCGCCCTTTTCAGATTATCTTCATAGCAAGACTGGCGTCGACAAGCTTACGGCATTGACAGATTGGGCAAATTCAATGAAACGGGATCGTATTAATCGATATTACGTGAAAGAGAAATCCACATCTACTTAAGCGCATTTCAATTTCAAAAAACGAGTAAAACCAACCCTAAAATACACCTTAGTGATTGCCAGAGCTCTGGCTGATTAAAACAAACATGAAATATTAATTTCAACCATGAGAACCAATTAATCATAAAATACCCTGATTGCATCACTTAAATGTGAACCACACAGAGCACTCTGACCAGTGCCTAGGCCTCCACAGACTAGTTGCAATGAACACCGTGAAACCATTCTTTATTTCAGGTAAACGTTTATAAATAACGAATACTGATAATCGAAGTTTAATGTCTGTTTAGCATCAGGCTTCGCAGGTTGGGCATGCATTTAGATCACAAAAAAAATGAATGTATTTGTCCTGAATGATTTTAAAACATTATTTGAAAATTAACTCCATTCCTTATAGAATGTGGTATATGTGATATTGATTGGCCAAAGCATAATAACTTATAACATGACCATTACCAAATAATATCCCGTTTGGTGAATAAGTGGTACATGTCGGAAATATAGAGCATTTGTTGCATTGAAGAGGGAAACATTGAAAGATAGTACCCCAGGGCAACGCATTCAGAGACTCAGGAATATCGCAAAGTACCCCAAAAATATTTTTCCAACAAATGGTTAAGGACTGTACTAGGTCGCCATCGGCTTAAGGGCTGGTTGATTAATGAGCATCATCCATTTCATTACTTCACACGCCTTCTGTGTTCTCGTTAGCCGTGGTCCTTTACACCAACGTGAAGTGTTCATCTGTCAGCTGGCAATGTTCGTCTTCACCACGTTATGCATCATAGAGATCACTAAGGAGGTCGTCTACAAAGTAGACACGGCACCAGGAATACCTCAGAGTATGTTCCCTCGCTCCAGACGTTTGATATCGGTTTGTTTGTCCTTGATACCGCCGACCTTCTTCACGTTATTGAACGTATTCGTAAACGGTTCTGCGTGAAGTTATCGGATAGAGGGCGTACGTGTTGTCCCTTATTATTGTAAACATCTCGGCCAATAATACCAACCGACAATGTTATTGTAGTGTAAAGCCACAATAACGATCGCCCCACACCTTAACAAAAACATGCCATGATGACTCACCGTCATTGAAATCGTCACATTTTAACAATATCGCTGATTCGACTTAAATGTGTTTTCTCGTTACTCACTCGTCTGACCCAGCGACCTGGAGGTTTGGATGTATGGTTTTCGTAAAATCAATTGCTTTATAGACTGTTTTCGGTTCATTTTACTTTTAATACCGATTTCTTTTCAAGGTTTGCTTGAGTGAATGAATTAGATGCAACGCCGGTTTAAACAGTATTTCAGCTATATCACGCCGTGCATGCTTAATGTGTGAGGAAAGTTAAATGTGACTCAGCATTACGCTCTTGTGAACTCCACAGGTAAGACATAATGCAGACAAACCAAGGGTTATTATCGGGGTGAAACTCTGATTCAGGCCCTCGTCCAGCGGATCCTTGCGCAGCTAAGGGACGCAACACTGCTCATGATCAGCCACGCATAATTTCAAGATGCCTGTCCACAGATCAACTTTAGGCGGGATTGACAAAATAGTTTTTCAAGTTTCTACCAAATATATTTGCCTATGCAAAGTCAATGAGCCCCCAATCATACTATGTGTGCGTTTCCCGACCACATCATGACTATCGGTTGTCATTTGTGCCCAACAAACTATTTTTCCTCCATGACAACTAGTTCTTTTACGTTAGGTACCGATGCATGGGTGCCCAAATCACACTAACCTGTTTTTTGTTCGCAGTTTGCCTATACGTTGGGCTTGGGTAAATTCTACAGGGAATAACCCCTTGTAGGTTTCAGTGACTATGAATACAATACGAAGTCCGATCCCTTAGTTTAACCATAAGCAGATATATGCATCACTTATATTTACATTATTTTAGTTCCTGTACTGATCTTGAAGACTGTGAAATAAGCCAACTCGTATCAAAACCGTGAAGATCCGGGTTAGGAATTGGTCTTCAGCAACCAATGCTTATAGTAAGAGACGACTGTGCTTGTTGTAAGAGGCGACTATTGGGATTGGGTGATGAGTGTTATCGTATCGTATCCTATCGTATCGTATCTGTGAATAATCGAGTCTGGACCAGACAGTCCGCTGATTGACATCATGAGCATCGATCCACGCGTACGTGTATTCTGTATTGATGGTCAAAAGCAGCCATGTGTTTTTGATTCAGTCACCTCGGCGTTCTCATCGAAAGTCCTAAATGACATTCATCGTGGATGTTTATCACTTCGGTTAAACCTACGAGCACGGATATTGCGTGACAAATCAAAGATCATTATCACAGCGAATGTTGGGCTTGACCTTTGTGCATTAAAGGGACACAACTCTACGTTACACCACCTAAGATCTGCCGTATACCGTCGTTCGTGAGCCAACAGCTATTGTGCAGATGAATGTGAGGTGAGGTCAAATTGGGGTTAACGTCGCGTCGACGTGCATGTACTGTGCGTGTTTGTACTAGTCCTGACAGATGCCGATTTATAGTGCCAGCTCACTGAGATACCATGCCGCAGTTAAACATGAATACCCCACTCTGACACAGTATACTTACTCCGAGCCGACCAGTCTTTGTTTTAGCCCCTTTATGCCGAGCGCCAGACAGGGTAACAACAAGTACCATCTTTTAACGTCTTATGGTATGACGCGGCCGGGGATCGAACCCCGGAGCTTCCGCTCTCCGGGCAGACGCCCTACCACTAGACCACGGAGGCGGTCTGTGCAGATAAAGACCTCATGAAGACTATGATTGATTGTTATCACAAAGAATAAAACCATGTCTCCTAGTTCTTCATCAACTACCTGACCAGCTCCCTACACGCTATAAATATAAATGTACATCTGATGGCGGCATAAGATCATCCTCCGTCATTATAAGAAAGAAGTTTGAGAAGAAATATTGCAAAATATGCCAACCCTAAAATAAACTTAACTGAAGTCACCCTAATGTTCAGATGACGTAATGTTATCAATGTGCACCATGAATGACTTCACGTCGTATAGTTTTCATCAATGTAACAGGGCATTGTGGAACTTCAACTGACACAAATTATGTACAAATCATCAAACAGTTAGTCCACTCAACGCTTTACATGTTCCATTTGATATGATTTCAACATTTAATCTCGTTATCTTTTCTCTGTCTTCATAGCGTTAAGATTGCTATTGACATGCGTAGTATATGAGGAAATGCTCTCTAACGTAACGCTATTGAGAAAGCTTCAGTTGATAAATTTTGTGTTGTTTATTTTCAACGCCACACACATCAATCGGCCAACTAGGTGACGTGGCCTTTAAATAATCAAGTCTGGACCAGACAATCCTGTTATTGAAATTATGAGAAACAATTCACGCCGTCGGGGTACGATGACACGCAACCAGCCTGACCATCCGATCCATTAGGTTACTGGTGACCAGGTCTCACCCGTAGTTCCGTAGGAGTCAGTTGATTGACGATCTTAGGGTAACATTATGTACCGTCTACATGACGTTAACGTTTCGCGATGAAAAATGAAACTTACTAGGATATTGCTAAGCACTTTATTACATGAAACATAAACCATAATATCACAGATACAGGACATGGGGCATGATTGAGATCAAGGCTGGGTGCTTCAAGGAAAATATAGTCTTTATTTCATCCACATTATGTAACAAGCCTGCAAAATGCAAAATTAGAGGTATATTGTATTTTGGAGCATGAAGGCGATCATGTTTCTCATTCGTACTTTGGAAGTGTGTATGCTTATTATGTAAATATATTTAGAACATACGTTTCCGACGCTTGTACCATTTAAATCTTATGAAACATATGAACAACAAAACAAACCTTGACAACAGTTTTAGGAAATAATAGCTTAAATATCTGAAAGAATATTAAAAAATATGAAAATAGAAGACTGAAACGGAAATAAAGAGTTTTCAAAAAGTTTACGAATACATTTGCTACATGTAATTTTTACATGCGCTGGAGTGGTAGAAGTAACGATGAAACACAAACTCGCTAGAAAAATTTACATGTAGATAGACTTTGACATTTGAATTTTTGAATGCTGGACACACAGTAAGAATTAAGCATTGCATTACAGTCTCAATGTACACGGCTTTATGGTACTGCCGCAGTAAAATCTTTGGTAGCGCCATGTGGAAGTGAGCTAAAGTGAGGCACCGATACTGTGTTTGGTTTTGAGGTTCTTTGACAGAAAGGATTAAAATGTTAAGGGCGTTGATTTTATAGCCTTCCTTATTAACAATATTGAGACATTTCGATGAATATGCTAGCATATATATATAAACATTACCATGAGATCCTAGTTTAGGTACAGAAAAGTTGCAATAGTGTGAATAAAGACTGCATGGTCATGTCTAAACCAACATCTAGATTATCCAACAAATGAAGACTGATGATTGGACTTCTGTATGTAACCCTGTTGATTGATTTAATGTTAAATTCAGGGAATTTCACCAATAACCGTTTGTTTTGATTTTGCCGAAGAAATAAAATTTGAAGCTATTTGTAATATGTCATAAGTTTTAGACACAATAAACACATACGAATTATGAACCTGTAACTATATAAAGGAAGGCTAACAATATTGAGTTCCGCGACAATGAACTGCTTCGAGGATAATTTCTTTTAAGAATGAAATATTGACTGTGAATAATTTTGCTCTTTGAGTTCACTTGTCATAAGCAGTAACGACCTCGTCAAACAACTGAAAGAGCATGATATTGAAATATTAGCATGCACCTACAATCTTCCTTTTGTTCCTCGACCCACTTTCAGTTTCAGTGTCCGTTCAGTTGATTTTAACTCAATATTTCCTTGAATAATGTCAATGTGAATGAGTTCATTTCACACATCTCGGTTGCCATGTAAGTGTTCCGGAATGGTTGTGATCGTCTCTCAGGTCAATACACGGGCACTCGTATTGCACGGAAAAAAGGTTAAACTATCAGGTATATGACTTGGTTCGTCTTGCTTTTTGTCTGAAACAAAAAAATAGATGGTGAATAATGTGAATGTCATGTTTCAAACCCTTTTTGTAATCTGACATTTATATTCTGCATCAAAGAAAACTAAACTATCCTTTTCTTTCTGTGGACGAATGTATAATATTACAAAGTTTGTTTTTAACACATACGTTTCACACAAGTAATGGCAATAAAATAAATACGAATTTAAGGTTGTCCTTTTGAAATTACACAAATACTCTTCTAGAGATATTAATCATGTTTGTTATACCTCTATTAAGAATCTTGCAATTTAATTGGTTAGTCCGCACCACGTGACAAAACAATACATTTCAATGTAGACTACCAAGTCATGTGACTGACACTGACCTCTAATATTAACTCGTCACTCGTCTCTTGTTACCGCTAACTATTAGAGCGTCACTACTGACCAAAGGACCGCCTCCGTGGTCTAGTGGTAGAGCGTCCACCCAGAGAGCGGAAGGTCCGGGGTTCGATCCCCGACCGCGTCATACCAAAAGACGTTAAAAGATGGTACTTGTTGTTACCCTGTCGGCATTAAGGGGCTTAAACAAGGACTGGTCGGCTCGGAGTCAGTATCCTGTGTCCGAGTGGGGTATTCATGTTAAACTGCGGCATGGTATCACGGTGAGCTAGCACTATAAATCGGCATCAGTCCGGACTAGTACAAGCAGCCACACACACACACACACACACACACACACACACACACACACGTGCATGTACGTCACTATATAAGTGCAATAATCTTGGACGCGAAGTTAAACCCCATTTCACCTCACCTCACCTACTGACAAAAGAATAAGGGAACTGAAGAAATGAAGGTGAAGGTGTAGTAACGATAAATGTCTGTAAAATTAATTTCTGTCGTGTTGATCAATATCTGACGAAATATCTTGGCGATACATGTACGACAACCTGACGTCATACTGTGAATTATCTTGCGTATGGTTGCCCATGATAATTCCCGCCAAGCCGCCCGAAGAGCTACCCAAAGCAGGGCCACGTTGATGTGTGCTGGGCGTACACTTTCCGCCCGAGAACATCCCACAGATGTTCTCGCGGGGAAATGGCAGTATAGTGTCCGTATGCCTTCTCGTCGGACAAACTCGGTGACGATCTGGGCTCCACGTGGTCTGGCATTGTCAACTTGCAATTCAACATTTCTGTGAAAACTCTACCGAATGGAACAACGACAGTACGCAAAGTTCGTCAACATATCGCTGGCCTGTCAAATGCCCATCCACAAGAACCCAATCAGTTTGCCTGTCATATGTGATACCGCCACACACCATGACACTACCGCCCCATACCGATCATGGTCAAGACTTTTTGCCCTGGAATACCGCTCGCCGCTACGTCGACAACGTCTTTTTCTGCTATCTGTGAATCGCATGCGAACCTTGATTCGTCTGTGAACATGATGTAACGGCCTGGCCTAGTCCACCCCAATCTTTGCCGCCTATGGTAAGCGGTAGGGGTCACACCCTTCACAGATCGCCTTCCTTTCAGTCGGTCTGCATTGAGCCAGTTTTTAACAATAGATGTTTTAAATCGGAATTGATAACAGAATCAGATTTGAATGTATTGCGTACTGCAATAAATGTAATGAGACGATCTTTTCTCGGTGTCGTATTTTAGACCTACCACGTCCAGGTCTCATTGCACCCTACCGTTTGGCGGTACTTGTCCCACAGTCGAGAAATTTTACTTTAAGATGTCAAGGGGAATAGAAAAAACACAGAGGTCCAGTGAAATAGAGGAAACAGATGTCAAGTGAAATAGAGGAAACAGATGTCGCGTGAAATAGAGGAACACAGATGTTAAGCGGAATATAGGAGACACAGACGTCAAGTGGAAATAGAGAAGACACAGGCGTCGAGTGGAAATAGAGGAAACACACATGTCAAGTGGAATAGAGGAACACAAATGTCACGTGAAATAGAGGAACACAGATGTCAAGCGGAATAAAGGAGACACAGACGTCAAGTGGAAAAAGAGGAGACACAGGCGTCGAGTGGAAATAGAGGAAACACACATGTCAAGAGGAATAGAGGAACACAGATGTCACGTGAAATAGAGGAAACATGTCAAGTGGAATAGAGGAGGCAGATGTCTCGTGGAATAGAGGAAACACAAATGTCACGTGAAATAGAGGAGACACACGTGTCAAGTGGAATAAAGGAGACACACGTGTCAAGTGGAATAGAGGAGACACACATGTCAAGTGGAATAGAGGAGACACACATGTCAAGTGGAATAGAGGAGACACAGGCGTCAAGTGGAATAGAGGAGACACAGGCGTCATGTGGAATAGAGGAAACACAGATGTCACGTGAAATAGAGGAAACACACGTGTCAAGTGGAATAAAGGAGACACACGTGTCAAGTGGAATAGAGGAGACACACATGTCAAGTGGAATAGAGGAGACACACATGTCAAGTGGAATAGAGGAGACACAGGCGTCAAGTGGAATAGAGGAGACACAGGCGTCAAGTGGAATAGAGGAAACACAGATGTCACGTGAAATAGAGGAAACACACGTGTCAAGTGGAATAAAGGAGACACACGTGTCAAGTGGAATAGAGGAGACACACATGTCAAGTGGAATAGAGGAGACACAGGCGTCAAGTGGAATAGAGGAAACACACATGTCACGTGGAATAGAGGAGACACAGGCGTCAAGTGGAATAGAGGAAACACACATGTCACGTGGAATAGAGGAGACACAGGCGTCAAGTGGAATAGAGGAAACACACATGTCACGTGGAATGAAAGAAACACAGTATGTCAGTGGGTTTGGTTTAACACTGCTTTGACCGATATTCCAGTTACATAACCGCCCGTCAGCTTAATGTGGGAGGAAAGCCAGAAATGATGCAGGTCTCAGACATTTACCACTTTGGCGAAACCCACGAGCACGGGTATGGTGCTGACAATCCTATAAACATAACCGGGACGAACCGTTTTGTTGGAAGCAACATTTAGTTATAAAATTGCACTCACCTATTTTGTGGTGATTTGACAGGCGTGATATCGGAGTGAAGAACTTTTTCACTGATAAGGTCATTGGGCACACTTTGGGTAAGGCTGAATATACCGGAAGAAGAACATTCCTCAGGCTCGAACACGTCTGAATCACTATCGGGATTCAAATTAGCGTCTGGTGTGTTACTGGCCCTGGAGGTTGACTCTATGGCGTCATCGGAATCAATATTTGACGAAGCAGCAACTGGAGGAAGAAGACGGAATATATCGACATAGATACCATCTGGTGAATCTGACTGATGCCTCTGGCTATTTGAGGAACTATCATAGGCACCGTTTAGTTCTGGAATGCCCCCAGCAGCAACTTTGGATCTTGTGACATCAGGAAGATGATCACTATTGTTTGATGATGCAGTTCTCATAACATCCGGAAGTGCACCGGCGCCATGTTGGAATTCCTGCGCGTTTGAACGAACTCTGGCTTCATCACAGCTTTGTCTTGCGGCAGGGTCACTTGGTTCTGTATTCCCGACAAAATAGTTCCTGTGACAAAGTTGACGTCTCACGTGCACGTATTGGTTACATCGACACTCCGGTACATCTTTTGAAGAAGTTGATTTTGAACAAACAAACTTTTTTGCAGTATCACGTATCTTTTTGAGGAAAGCCTTCCTCAAAAGAATGTAGAGCCATGGATCTAACGTCTGATTGAGGCTTGCCAGGCGGACTGCAGTTAATCCCAGCACTGGATTGGATTGTTTGGTTGCCAGCGTTATAACGATATGAATCTGAAATAGAAAAGTTAAGAGATAAACAATATTGTGCTGAAACATTGAACGTTACAAGGTACCATACATATAAAACATGCAAATAACATACAATTAACCCCATACGACTTACATTTCAAATTCATTTTGCAATACAAGAAACGAGATGAGATAAGCACTCTTCTTGGCTTACTGGATTATAGATTGAATGTTTCAAAAATGATTATTGTGAGTGAGTATGATTTTACGCCGCTTTTAGCAATATTCCAGCAATATCACGGCGGGGGACACCATATATGGGCTTCAAACTATATACCCATGTCGGGAATCGAACCCTGGTCTTCGGCATGACGAGCGAACGCTTAAACCACTAGGCTACCCGACCGCCCCAGAATGAATGTGAACGTTTCGGTATACGCCTTTTCATATCAGAGAAGTAAGCAGAACTTGACTACAGCTGTTTGTCGTGGTGATATTTAAAAAAACCCTATAGAAACATTAAATTCAACACGGGACAAAGATTTGCTCATAGGCTAGTTAATATTCACGCATGTTTATGACAATATTTCAGAGTTTTTGTGTTATTTTTGAAGTGTTAAAGTACAATGCCCCTTATCACACCCCGTCCTCGTAAATCTAACGTCAAGCTATCTCTGGTAAATATTTTAAGTGCACAGCTGACACAATCCTTAAACAACATTGTATTTATTGCTTCGATTGACGGCGCTTTAAATGAATGTCATTTGAGTTGATATTTAACGTCGTATCGGCATTATTTCAGCCTTATAGCGATTTATGATTGGTGGTACATATACTCTTCCAAGAAAAAGTAGGGGACCATTAACTATAAATGTTTTGATCTGTCGTCAGAAGAATGATCGGCTTTGGTTTTGAAACCAAAACGTACTAACGCCCCGACACACACGAACACTGAATGTGGACCATGCACGTGGGTAGGGGGTGGGAAAGGTAGTCAAATCGCACTGAGCTTTAATATAGTTGATTTTCATTATCCATAGTAACACGTCAGCTCTCTACTCTTGCTTTAATGCAATATTTGTGATCAGATTGTGAATGCGTCGTCTAACTGTTACATGCGCCAGACCACCGGAGTTCAAGTTACTGACCTGACTCTCAGAAATCGTTTGTATGCGGATAACCTGTATGGTCGACGACCACGTGTAAGTACCACCTTTATCAAGTCGACACATTCTAGCAACAGGCCAATGATGTATAGAGTGTAGAAACTGGGGGAATCGAAGATGGTTTCGTTTTAAGATGAGTCCAGATTCACTCTGGACTGTCTGGACAGGCGTGGACACGTCTGAAAGGGTCCTAACCAACATCAGCACAAGGCAACATGACAGATTTTGAGATGGGTCTCGGGATCAGGGGTAGGGGACGGGATCAGTACAACTGTTAGAACGCCACTGAACATCGTGGCAGCCTTAGTTGTGTCGTTTGCGTGCAATGCTGGTACACGTTTTGTCGTCAAAGACGAAAACGCTCGTGCCCATCGTGCATCGTAAATGACTACCTCAAGGAGCAAAACATCACCAGAATGCAATCGCTCGGCATGAGTCCTGACCTTTTGCCCATAGAGCACGCCTGGGACATTAGCGGGCGACGTGTACGTCGACGTCAAAAGTCACCCGCTGGCCGAACAGGGCCAGGTGCTACAAGAAGAGGAGGACAAGACTCCCTCCATTGTTATTGGGAGACAGACCATGCCACGCCGTAGGAACGAATGTTTGACCAATCGGGGGCATGACCGATTATTGATCATCTCAAACGTTACTTTTTTCTGCTGACCCCTGTCTTCTTGGTTGTTTCCACACTTACAATACACCGCCAACATGTTCTGTTGAGTGTCATCTTACACCTCGTCCATCTTTGTTCTTATCTATCCATTACCGTCACTCGACTTTGTGTTTCAGTAATCAGCTGTTGTTTTCGAATAGTTTTCGGCGAGTGTATTAATAACCATTAGCATAAATATGCATGTTGAGCTGTATCTTCTCTCCCCCATTCACTTTGTATTTTCGTCATCAGCCGTTGTTTTCAAACAGTTTTTGGAGAGTGTATTAATAACCACTAGTGTAAATAGGCAAGTTGAGCTGTATCTTCCCTCCCAATTCACAAACATAAACTATAACAGGTTGACTTATTCTTTGATAATATCAATGTGACATGTATAAACTATGATGGGTTCATTTGTTCATAAATAACATCACTGTCATGTCTACTATAATAAATGTGTGTTTCGTAATCTTGAATTACGGAGTAATTAAAGTCTGTTTATGCATCTTTGGTGGAAGGTACACGGGCACCTCTAAGCGGGACAAAGGTGTTGAAGTAAACGGAACGGATGGCAACAGGAGCGCTTTGTTGGTGAGGCCACACGCAGCTTAGATGTTTTCTGTGTGAATAATGTATATGTGTTTTACAGAGTGTAGTAGAGGATCGTAAAAGAGTTAAACCTCAAAATAGTTGTTTGTGCAGTGTTAAAAAATATATTACGACTTTAAATGTCATATGTTGGTCCTTTACCCTTTTTACGTTTATTGTGCTTTGGATATTTTTAATGAGCTTATTTGCTGTAAACAGGTTTGGATACAGACATGTCTGTTAATACAACGTACATGTTTGCAGCTGTCTGTCAGATAACGTTCGCACTTCACGACATAACGTATGGACGTCATAACCCGCAGCTAAGGTTATTTGAACGAAATAGATGCTCAGGTGAAATCTAGCAAGCATTTTACTCAGCAATTCGCAATATTGAAACCATATCATGGCGGGGAAACAAAAGGAGAATATGTTTTCTTGCGAACTAACATCTTGCCTTATCGAGTGTCAAATACCTGTCAAAGATGATATATTCATGCTCTGGTCATAATGGTATTGAGATGACGGAAAGTAACTCCGGAATAATGTCTTACACATTCACTTGAGAAAAATGTCGATTATATATTTTCAAATAAATAAGTATTTCCTATAATAAATACGAATGGACTTTATGTTGAGAATCGAACACGGGACTACGGAACTTGGTTACAATTATACTGCTAGCTAGGCTGTCCTACCACACTCATAAAAAGCTAGATATTTAAAGCACGATGTTTGAATGTTAAAATGTATGAAAATAAAGGAATAGCTCTCAGCAATACTGCTTTCTGCAAGATGTTACACACCTTGACGTTCTCTATATGAGAGTCAACAGTTCGCCTAACGTTAATGGATATGCCTTAGTCCCACTTGCAGAGCTACTCATTCCAAATCACACCGAGAGCCTGTTTCCGGTCACAACGTTAGGAATTCTAACCAGGGAGGACTATTATATTGCATTTTATTACAATGGTAACCACACGTCTCGAGACAAATTTCCCTATTACTGCCCACAACTGCCAATTAATCTCATCTTCATGGGCTCTCTCTTGCAACGCACATCACGGCCTCAACAGAACCACATGTATTTAACTGTCCATTCCATCGGCGTGCAGGATTGGGTACCAGATTAAGTACAACAATCATATTTGCAAACATGGACGTCACGCAGCCTTCGCAGTTCGATGGACCAATGTCTACATGTCTTTTACCTTAATTTGTTCTTGTTTATGATTACAAAAACTGTTTTGTTTATTGTTAACAGACAAGGATGTAACTGTAATGTATAATCTATTTATTCATTCGGGGGCACGGGTGGCCCAGTCGTCTAAGGCGCCACGATTCGCTGTGCAGAGTTGCGTCCCTTGGCCACGCCAGAAACCTATGATTGTGGGTTCGAATCCCGGTTCGCCCCGATTATGTTTCTAGGTTTGTCAGCACCATACCCGTGCTCGTGGGTTTCACTGAAGTGGTAAACGTCTGAGACCTGCATCACTTCGGGCTTTCCTCCCACATTAAGCTGACACGCCGTGATATAACTGGAATACTGTTAAAAGCGGCGTTTAACCCAACTCACTCACTCACTCACTATTTATTCATTCATGTATAATCATAACACATGCTCATGATATAGTCGGAAACGTACAATCGACTCTGCTTTCGACAGAGACTTCTTATGATAATTATGAATTTGGAAAGAGTTTTGTTATATTATTAAGGAATCGTGTTTGGTTTCAACAAAATCATTACATGCGCTGTCGTGTTACTGTAATTTCTAGCCCAACACTTGTTCGTCTTGTCAAGACTCAATTGTTAACAGGTCACTTTCTTATGGTAGGATACGGCTCACACTCCGTCGCAGCGGTGACTCAGCATAACACCACTGCCACAGGCTAATTTGCATATCACGTGACCGGACTTTTCTCTTGTTTGTAAACAAACGCGCTTTTTCAGAAATCAGTATAGAACGGACTAATGCAAGTATTTGGGGGCGCTTCGCATATTATTTTGCATAACTATATAGATATGCTACTACAACTGCGACAGTGAGTTGCATGACAATATATATTTATGCATCAAAGTGACCGTGTCGCTAGCTCTCCGTTGGGCTTCGATGACAGCACGTGGAGCCGTACAACCAATGTAAACATAGGATAACTACGCAAAAACAAGTAGATTTTTACGTATTTGCATACTTTCTCAATGAAAGTTAACCATTCTTTGACATTTGTTTATGAAAATGTGTAGACTTGTCAAACATGAAACGGATGAAAAGCATAATATTATGCAATATCTTGAATGGACTGTGAAAGATGTGACGAGGTGGCAGAGGTACTATGCTAGCTGGCTGCCGGACGCATGGAACTCTGGGTAGGAGGGTGGTACTATGCTAGCTGGCTGCCGGCCGCATGGAACTCTGGGTAGGAGAGTGGTACTATGCTAGCTGGCTGCCGGCCGCATGGAACTCTGGGTAGGAGAGTGGTACTATGCTAGCTGGCTGCCGGCCGCATGGAACTCTGGGTAGGAGAGTGGTACTATGCTAGCTGGCTGCCGGCCGCATGGAACTCTGGGTAGGAGAGTGGTACTATGCTAGCTAGCTGCCGGCCGCATGGAACTCTGGGTAGGAGAGTGGT